TCTTCCGAGAAAAAACACAGTAGATTGACATCAATCTCACTCAATTTCTGACATTACTACTATCCCTATCATGGTCTAACTTCCAACTACCTTAACGAAGATTTCTTCAAACTGCTATCAACATCCGCCTTGTTAACGAACATTTTGCTACACCAAAAGACTCTTAATTAAATAAAATATATTATTTTTAACCTTCGAGTCAGTTCGTTTTATTCCCTAAGTTTCTGATGAAAATAATTATACAACCACCTATCCACACTGGCAACGTTCTGAAGTGAACCCATCTGCCACAGGATACTGAATCAGTTTCTTTATTAGAAAACTACGTGGAAATATACATACATTCATATATATATATATATATATATATATATATATATATATATATATATATATATATATATATATATATATATATAGATAGATAGATAGATAGATAGATAGATAACTATACTATTTTTCGAAAAACCCTCGAATTTTTGATTTGCCAATAATCAAATCAATCTCGAGGGGAAAAAAGGTTTTAAAAAAAGAAAGAGCTACAAACATGAAAGTCTGTCGGGATGCATTTCAATACCGCTCTGAAAAATGATAAGTATTTAAAAAAGAAAAATATTAAAATCTTTTTACTGTTCAATATCAAACTGAAAATAACCTGTTTCCTTTTTTTTTTTTTAATTTAAATTATGCAAGTACCAACCGCAAAAAATGTATTTGTTGAGTTTTATTGAATTACTTTTTTAAGATGTGGGACGAATTTTTTTTTTCTTTTTTCCTTTTTTATTTTTTTACTGAAATAACAACTTTTTCTTCAAGGATCATTTTCCTTTATAATTGTAAAAATAGAAAATTACAAGTACACTTACACACAAAATATTGAAACGTGTGTGTGAAACAGACCGCCCCCATCAATATACGTGCGCAGGTATGCAGAAAAGACCACGTTGGGTGCATAATCCGGGGTTCCTTTGTATTTTTGTTTTTATTTTTAAGAAGACAGTGCTCCATACAGAAGTAGACCTTTATTATAATAATATTTTTTGTTTAAAAATGATTCCTTCGCTACATAAGAGTTCTCATGGTTCAAAAACGAGAGCCGAAACCATCCAAATAATTATTAAAATTAAGTTGAATTGTGGTGTTTAGTCCCGTTTCATCTTCAAGCAAAATTTTTAGGAATAAGCTATCTCTCAGTTTACGTGTGTTTTTAGGCATGGTCCGTTACAGAATTCGTTATTGTGAGAGTGGCTAGACTATTTTCCTTCGTTAAGTGGTCAGAGAGTTAATTCTTATCAATAGATTCATCATCTTCTGGGAGGTTGGGTGGGGTATCTATTTCAAGGCTAATGTTTGCGGTCACTCTTTAGTTGGTTCCCAGTGAGGGATATTTTTATGGCGCGCCTACAAGTCGTTATGTGTCTGGAGAATTGTCTTTTATTATTGTCCATCTGATTATCTATTTATTTATTCAAGTGGGTGTTTTATATACAGATCGTATTGCACTGAATTTCATTTTTTTTTTTTTTTTTTTTGACGAGTATAAAAAGGGTTTTTCCTATTTAATGATTTGGCTAAGCTTTTAAGAATTTTATTTAGCTATGGGATTTTTTTTATGCTAATTATTTAATGCGAAAGTTTGTTGATGTCGGCAAAAAACCGTTAACTCCTGCCTATGGTTTAATAATTTTTCATTATTTAGAAATTTAATGATGTGTAGTTTTTCCTGTAGGCATAAAGGACATGGGTCATCCCAGGTTTTACAAGTTCTTGTTTTATTTACTATTTTCCATTTTACTTTTGGTGTTTTATTCGTTTCTTTTAGATGCCAGAAATATTGGGATAGAGATGTCTGATTTCTATTTTGAATATTGTTGAAGGAGCTCTTGTGTTGCCTCCATCTAATTTTAAAATTATTCTTCGTTGAGCCTATGTATATCCTATCAGTGTTAGGACTCTCAATGGATGAGATAGTGCATTGGTATACCACAGATTTTGTGAGGCATTTATTTTCCAACGGGCAGTTTTTAGGGTTTCTAACAATCACATAATTTTTCGTTATTTTTATCTAATTTTTGTTTATGAGTTTTATTACTGTTTTGGTATGCGTGTTTTTCTAGGATTTTCTTATTATGTCTTTTTATGATTCTTTCTATATTTTCAGTGCAGCTGTAACTCAATTTCAAGGTGTTTTTGTTAAAGATGTCGCTAAGTTTGCTATTAGTGGGAAAGTGCTTTTCAATTAAAGCTAGGAACTTATGGCCTAGTTTGGTGCTGACCATTTGGTTGTACGGAGGGGTATACCAGATGATCTTTCTTTTCCTGTTTTTCTTATTATTGGTACTATCGTTTCTATAGGTTATGTCAGCGTTTTTGTATCCGCTATTTTTCAGGGCTGTGTTATAAAAACTACTGTGTTGTCTGAATATTTTCTTATTTGCTGAGTTCATACTTATTCTTTTCTCTATTGATGTGGGTATATGCTTAATTATAGATGGAGGGTGGTTTGACTTAGGGTGTACATACAGGGGATTAGTATTAGGTTTTCTGTAAGGTAGGTGAACGTTGTTCGTTAAGTCTAGGGTTACGTCTAGGAAGTTTACTCTTTTTAATTTAGTGTTGACTATTGTTTTTAAATTTAGTTTCCCGAATTCCTTGTAAATTATCTTTCTAATTTTCTCTGTTTTAAAGTTTGTGGAGCTCCTCACTACCATGAGCCCGTCATCTCTGTATAGCCCGATGTCCCCAATGTCTAGTTCACGGTGGGCGGTTAGATTGTACAGTATAAATAGACCGACAAGGTCCATTGTTTTTCTTTTTTTGAAAGGAAATATTGTTGATTATATTTAGTAGGTCCTTTTCGAATTCCTGTAGGTTTTTGTTGTATGGTGATACTTTCTTGCTTTTAAATCCGTAAACATCATGCTCTTTTTTGTTAGGTTATACCCTCGTAGGAAGAAGAATGCTTTCCATCTCATTCTTCTTATTAATTCCTCTGTTTTTTGCAAAAGCTTGATGAAATAATTCCGTTTGTTTGTGTGTGGAACGTTCTTCAGAGAAATGTCGAAATTTATTTTTTCCATATTTTTAAAGTTCTTATTTTAAGAGATCCCATGGTGATGTCAAAGTTGTCATTGGTGCTTTTAATCCACTGGTCCCCATTATGGATGAGGACAGATTTCTTTGCACTGAGAATTATGTTTGTTTCTTCCTTAGTTAAGTCAGAATATTATTGGATTAACACTCTGGATTAACACCAAAGAAGTCATAAACTGGTGTTGCAGACCCGGTAGCGTGAAGTGTTGGTTTATTTAAAAGTGGTCTTGTGCCAGACACTACACAAAACTATCGAATCCGCAAGCAAAGTATAAAAATTTTGCGTGAACGAACATAGAGAGGAAAAGGGGTCAATCAACAAGTGCATAAATTATAAATATCAAAAAGATAGCCTGAATAGAATGACAAAGGCGTCTGGTTGAAAAACAGATATGAAACTTTTATTAAATTGAAACAAGTAGGTTGTCTCGTCATTCGAGATCAGAGAAAATGTTCCGCGCCAAAACAGGAAAGCAAGATGGACAAGGCGGGAAAGTTTCATCAGAATGAAGTTCTGGAAAATATGACTCGTTAACACGAGGTGTAGGTGTGCACCGATAGAAAAAGTACTCACTGTGGAATTTCGTATTGTGAGTGTGTGTAATATTTTTTTAGGTTCAGGTTCAAAGTAGTTAGAATGTTCAGTTGTCTCGGAGTTTTTGGTCGAAAGGCAAGGGAAGTTGTTGACTTAAGGACATTGAATTAATCGCTGAGAATTTTACATCGATTTGATGTGATTATTGCCGTAGGATATCCCTGTCTGTATTATGGTTGACTAACGAGGGATTTAATAAGTCAACTTGTTGATACGAAGTTCTGACCACGACTGTGTCGTGTGTCTCGACTTTTTCTAGCCGAAAACGGAGAAGGTCTGACCTGCGGGTAGCATCAAGACGAGAAGGAGTCTTGGGAAAGTGTAAGGTCGACATGTTGAAATAAGATATTCCGGCCCACATATAGGTTAAGGGCACGGAATAAATGAGTTGCCCATCTAGTTAGCTTGAAAATCGGGAAGCAACTGGTTAGGAACGCTGGCGTCCGTGACGTCAAGAAAACGCGCGGGAAAAATTCAAATTCTGTTAGGCTGACTTTATCAGCAGGAGCTATGGTAAGCGACCTTCCTTCCTCCAGATTACTGCTACGTCTAGCTGTAAGAGAGAGGAAGGGGTGCAAACCGCGCGCACACACGCACGAGTGTGGAAGGAAGGGAGGAAAACTCGCGCGCGCGTAAAATGTAGATGGAATTACTGTGTTATTCCATACTGGTTTACCAACATCGGCAATAAGCCCAACTGCACCCTAATTCAGTTCGATATTGTCGATTACTACCAGTCAATATCAAAAGACCTCTTCACGACTGCCCTGGAGTTTGTTACAGTATATTCTGACTTAACTAAGGAAGAAACAAACATAATTCTCAAATTATGTAAAATTGAAAATAAAACAAAAATTAATACACAAACCCTTACCTTAACAACACCTAACTCTAAAGATTAACTTTAGGGTTAGTTGTTAAGGTCAGGGGTGGGGTTTTCTGTGTAGAAAAGGGGACAATTTAAATACAAATGAAATAAATACAATCAACCCTTCTACTTTAACAAAGTTTGTGTATTAATTTTTGTTTTATTTTCAATTTTACAATATAAAAATACTTTATTTTTATTATTTAATTTGTTCTTTTAATTTGTCATTGCTATTCGAAACGGAAAAAAGGTTCTGTTGTATTATTTAATTCGTTTTTGTTATAAATAAAACTAAACTTAACAAAAAAAAAAAAAAAATTTACATTTTTTTACGGTAGTACGCAGGGATTTTCTGCAAGGAAAGTCTGTAAAAGAAGTAAATAGGTCAAAGGCAAGCGCAAGTATCCCGCAGCGAATGAGGGTTCATGATGGCAGTAATGGGGGATGAAAGAGCAACAAGAAGTCCGATTTTTTTTTCTTGTCGATAACTCCAAAACGGTAAGGTTTCTTCATAATTTAATTGTTAATTTGAGTTCAGCATGTACATTTGCACGGAATTATGACGATTTTGGAAAAATTTGAAGCGATATTAGCGCTCGGGAAACAAAATAGAAATTTACCCTTTTTAGAAAAGTTTGTGGCGGTACATATGTCAGAATGTCACATTCTTTTCGAGATTATATATCCCTTTTAATTTCAATTATTCGTACTTGTTTTGCTTGTATGTAGCCTCTTACCAGCGGTTAACTTATTTTTTTACTATAACTTTTTAGTTTCCACGCACCTAAACAGATGTCCAAGTAAACATGACTTTCTCTTTTTCCTTATTTCCTGATTGGCGGGTTAACGTAATTATTTTGAATATCACTTGTGTAAGTAAAAGTGTTGTTGAGAGTTTGGTAAGTAGTTCTTGTTGTTGACAAGAAAAATAATGCACTTAAATTTAAAGAAAGGTTTAAAGTGCATATTTTTCGCTAATTTTGTTTTACTGTAAAAAAAAAAAACAAAGTTAGCGAATTTTTATGGTTACTAAATATGACTTAGTTAATGACTTCTTTTTTTTTTGCATTTATTGGCAGTTTGTGTTAATTTTTTTTTTCTTCCTCGATTTCATTTTAAAAAAGATAAATAATTAATGCTCATTGTTAGTTATTCATAAATTTTGTAAATAGAATATTTTTTTAACATGATTATTAACAAAATCATTAAAAAAAAAAGTGAGATGCTAAAAATTAAGAACTTGATGGTACACTGTTAGTGTTACACTCCAAACCAAAGTTTGTAAAACTAAAATTTAATATTCAACCTGCAACCACATACATATGGTAAGTAGTCGAATGTTTTTACCTCCCCACCCATGTGACAAAGAAGAAAAAAAAAAAAAAACAGAAATAAAGCATCAAAACCTGTGTCGTTAATAAACCAGTTTAGGTAAATTTTGGTTTTTAACACCCGCGCTAAATATCCCTTAAAATTTTCCAATCCAAAAAAAAAAAAAAATACTGTTATTTTTTTATTTGTCAATATTTTTGTATTTGAAAGTTAACTTTCCTCCTGTTAACACTTATCCAAACAAAAAATAATACTTTGTTATTTTTTTTATTTGTCAATATTTTCATATATTTGAAAGTTAACTTTCTTAAAAAATTAAGTAAAACTACACTTATTAAAAAAGAAAAAAATCGTTTTACGGAAGTGCGTACTGATTTCTGCAAGGAAATTCTGTAAAGGAAGTAAATAAGCCAAATTTTATGACTCCGCCGCAAAGTGTACCGCAGTGAATTACTTCTAAATAAGCCGGTAATAGCGGACGAAAGAGCAACAAGAAGTCCGATTTTTTCTTGTCGTTAACTCCAAAACGGTAGGTTTCTTCATAATTTACTTGTTAATTTGTGTTCAGCATGTACTTTTACACGGAATTATGACAATTTTGGAAAATTTTAAGGGATATTTAGCGCGGTTGTTAAAACCAAAATTTACCCCAGTTTAGACAAAAAATATTTCTAATATAGAAATTATTTTTAAATTCATAGAAAAATTAAATTGTATATTTGCGTTTGAAAAGTTGTTTAAAAGCCAGACATAAAAGCATGGAAGGACGATAATTTTTTTTATTATTCAGTCAATTATTAATCCTTTTATTAAATTTCAACATTGAAAGTTCAGAGACAGTTCGGGTATTAACTTTATTATTAATAATGTTAAAATCCAACGTATGTCTGCTGCGTGATGATATTTGTAACTAAGTAGCATCCATGACAGCTTTTTCGTCAAATATGTGTGCAAGTACCCAGAATATAGAAATACGAAACATTTTCGTTGTCAAATATTGAAATTAAACGTTTCGGTTTAACTTTTATGGTGTTGAATAATGAATTGAATGCTAAATTTTTTTTTTAGCATCAACCAAAAACAAAACATTTTTTAAATATTGCATTCATTCATGCAATGAATTTGTCACTTACGGTGTTAATTTTTTTGCTAAATCACAGGTTAATTTTGTTGAGATTTCATAACAGAACATTTTTAAAAGTGATTTGAAACCTTAAATTACAAAATAGTTCCCTCAAACTCATTTATTTTACCAAAGATCAGTTTCATAAATTTATTCATAAATGAAATGAAAACAGAAACTGAAAAGTACCAAAATCTTTATTGAAATTGAAAAATGAGCAGATATTTGATTTGGTATTTTTTTTTTTTTAAATTGTCCACTATGGATATGATGAATTGGATCATTTGTAGAAATTAACTTAAAGCGTGATTTCATAAATTTTTGTTAATTAGATTTTGTACAAAATTACTTGCTTTATTTCAAAAAATATATTTAAAAAATCCATTTTCCCCTTCAATTGTAATCTTCCAACACCGCTACTAATCGCGCCATAAAAATCAAATTCAAAACCTCGTTTTTAGTTTGTTAAAAATATTTTTCAGGTCGGTTACAACCAAGTGATTTATTTAGTTTCGTATTTTTAACATTATTCAATTGTAACGGTATCAAAAACTTCCTTAAACACACAAAAATACTCCCAGCATAAGTAGTTTAGTCAAATTCAAAACTTTCAATACTTTGGGTAGCCCTGAATTGTCATTTTTTTTTTTTTAATTTCAAGGGACGTAATTCAAACTTTTATTTTTTGATCATCCGGAGAATAAAAAAATCAGTCAGCTGTAAAAATAAAATAAAGTAAATTATTTTTAAAATGTTCACACACCAAAATAGCATTTTTTGAACTTTACATTGCCTTTTTTCTTTTGAGTTTTGGAGAAATTTTGATTATTTATTTATTTACTTATTAATTTTTTTAGATAATCTTAAAATTTAAATTTATCTTTTTTATTCATTAAAAAATCGAGAAAATGATACTAATTGGTTTAAGAAATCAAAAGCAACTGTTTTGAAGCTTGAAATGTAATAAGACAAGTGAATAACTCTGGACTCTTGTGTTCACTATTGCTCTTACTTTCTCTCTCCTGTAATGATTATTCTCGCTTTTCATTCTGTATTTCTCTTTATCCTTTGTTTACAAGCTTAAAAATGACTATATCTTTCCATTTCTCTTTAAGGATATTGCTGTTATCTCTTTCAATACACAAGTGTCTTGTAATATTTTACTTAGATTTTCATGTTACTACAGATGTTTTAGCACAGATGTCAGCATACTAGTTTTAAGCCATTGTCAGTAAATTAATTTTCACTGTTTTCCTCTATGCATAGCTTAAACTATTTCAACAAATATTTAAATGTTGAAAAAAATTCTTATTTGCTTGTCTCATGTTTCATTTATTCTTTGAATTTTGTGGAATAAAATGTTAGTTAATCTGTTTTAATACAGAAGAGATACAATTATTCATTTCAATATTACTTTTTGACTTCAGTGTTTTATAAGAAAATTGCTATTTATATATATGCATATTTTAAGTACTTATCCAATTATTGTTGTCTTACCTTGTTCTTTCACAGCTAGTCTTTTCATCTCCTGTTTTCAAACAGTCTGCCATCAGCAATGCAAAGAAGATAGCTCTAGTATAGCAAAATGTTACAAAAATTGCAAAAATACATTTGTATTAAAAATTTCTGAGATGAGAAATTATTATTATTATCTACCTTTAACTTTACATTTGGAGTAGCATGCTCACAAAGTTTCAGTTCCTGTACTCTCTGGCCTTCTTTAGATATCTGTTCAAAAGACACATGACCTGGTGGATTAAAGTGTTGGTTAAAATATATCTAGTTCCTTGGCAGTTGTGAATTCAATCCTTGAGTTAAGTAGTGCTGGAAAGTCATATACTCTGAATCATCAGAAGTAGCAGATAAGTGATACAAAGGCAATAGACTGGAATGTAGTAACTGATGTGTGATATTCACTAAGCATGGAAAGCAGAATGAGAAATTTCTACTCTTCTGAGTAGAATAAAGCGTTCAGTTCAAAATTTCAAGAAGGTTATTGAGTATAACACCTAAATAAAGCCAGAGTGTATATTGTAAGTAAAATCCCAATATGAACATTTTAGTCTGACTATAAAGGCAGATAATAAAAAAAAAATCACTTGGAGTATTATAGAGAGATGTATTTGTTTACATTTTGTTGTTCTTTTTAATAAATTAAAATTTTGGTGTACTTTGCTATTGGGTTGCAAGTTAATGGCTAATGTTTTTACGTTTTAGAAGACTGTATAGTGGTGAATGATATTGTATCATTCTCTTTCAGTATATTTTACTGTCTTACAGAGAAACTTTCTAACAAAAAACAAACTTTATCTTTAAAGATATTTAACTTCAAAAGATGATTGCACATTCATAGTTGTAAAAAGTTCTTTCATTAAATCAAATCTTTACAGAAATCATTTGAATTGTTCATTTAATAAGTACCTTAAGTGTTGAAATAGCATAAAGCAAGAACTGCAGTGCCATTTATAAGTGTTAAACATTAGTGATTACTTAAACTACTTTAGCTCACTTGTATATTATAGGCAATGAAAAGGCTTTCCTGTATGGATAAACTACTTTGTAAAGCAGGATGATAGTAGAGAAGCAGTTTTGCATTCTTCTCTATACAGTTTTGTCAATATAGTTGCACTTCTAACTTAGTGTTAATGGTTTTTTTTTTTTATAGTTTTGTTCATCAGTTTCCTGAAAATGAATCATGTCTAAGTTTTTATTTTGTCATTTCACATTAAAGTTTACAAAATTTTTAGTCAATACTTAAAAACCTGTTTTTGATAATTATACATGTAAAAGTTGTAACCTAAATTTTGAATTAAATATTAGTATAAAATTTTTTCATTGAAATTTAGGTTTGGGATCATTATTTTTAAATGTCTAGTTAATAATACAGGGACCATGTAATAAGTCACTCTGTCTATTGCTATTATTCTATTGATTGACAAAAGTAAATCACAAATTTTTATTATTACATTCAACAATTTTATTTTACTACGAAATAAAAGTTTATTTATGATAAAATAATGAGGAATACATATTTCGTTTTATG